CCCCCCCGCCCGGAGCCTCGCGCAGAGCCACCGGCGGGGCCGCTCGGCCTCTCTGAGGCTGCTGCTCGGTGGGGCCCATCGCGCCACCTCCTCTGCGGGGACTCGCAGTCCCCCGGGCTTCACGTCGCGCTTTTTGGAGCGACCGTGAAGCTCCTCTGAGCCCGAGAAAAGCAGCTGCTGCGTGAGTAGGTGCTCCCTGCCGCTCTGCAGGAGCGAAACCCCCACGGAAGAACCTGCCTCTGCGGTGCTGAGCAGCTAGGATGAAACGCCAAAGGAGGCTCAATAGGTGACTGCAGGAGCTGTCCTGCTGCTGAAAATGAGGGTTTCCTTTTAGCCGAGGGAGGCTGTAAAATGTCAAGATACACTAAGATATCGTCAGGTTGGCTTTGTGAGCCTTTCCTAGGAATTTTAAGGCAAAAAACCTCAACTGGAGTAGGTGGCGGTTATTAAAGTCGCGGTTGGAAAGCAGATCAGCTAATGCAGCCCAACAGGTTCAGGGTAATCTTGAGCTGGGAAAAATCCCTTCCCTTGCTCAGAACTAACGGCCAGAGCGACCAGATATTTTCTGCCCACTTTTGTTAGCGTGTCAGTCGCAAACACAGTCTGTGTTACATGAGTGCTGCAGTTAAGGGTACTGGGGTGTGTGTGTGTGCCTGCTCCAAAAGGAAGGTAGTGATGGTACCAGCTGTGTTTGGGGCATAACAGTTTAAAATGAGTTATTTTCTTGTGCTCAGGTTCTTTCTGCAGCTCACGTAATGCAGTGATACATGTGTTTATATGTGACTTTAGATGGCTTGGGACTCTTTAGTGTGCCCCTCTCCTGAGGACAAACTTTACAGCTAAAGCTCAGTAGTATTTTTTTGTTCCTAGTAGAAAAACAAACAAACAAACTTGGGTGAAATACAAATAAATTAATAAAACAAATGTGAAAAGAGGCCAAAGATCCTTCAGTAGGAGAAGTGAGTGCTCCATTGCCCGAGAGAGGTGTGTGGTCTGTTGATGAGAGATGCTGCAGAGGTGGCAGTAGCTGCCGGTGAAGAGGTCCCAGAGGTTTTAGAGGGAAAAACGTTGGCACCCAAGAGCCAGTTTGGGAAGTCTGGGCCCTGCGAAGGGAACTCGGTCTCGTAGAAGCTCGTTGCGAAACTCTGTTCTGCCTGTTCTTTCCTCAGCCTTCAGTCACCTCTGGAAGATCCTGAGCAGACCCAAGCCAAAAAGCAAAAACCAGGTATTACGCACTATAGAAATAATTAATACACATTTTTTTCCTCAGGCTTCGTGCATCTCGGAAGACTCTGGCTTTTGTACTTAGTCGTTATTACTGAAGTGACTTTCCAACCCTTCCTTTCTCCTTGTGACCGTCTTCATCAGGGGCCTGAGGCTGCATCACCACTTTGAAGGAAATTTATTTTAAACTGAGGGCAGGCAGAAAAAAAAATGGTATTTCTGATTGTAGCCATCTAGGGAGCTCTAGGAAAAAAAAATGGATTGAAAAGGGAAGACACTTTTTCACACTTGTAAAACAAATAAAAATATGCCAAACTGATGTCTCGCTTATCCTTTTAGCAGCACAATCTCCCCTGAGTCTCAGTGATTTTTAAGTCTTGGTAATAAGACTAAATCTGCTTCTAGGAACATGGTACCATCGATGCCCTCGTGTGCTTAGACATGATTCTCTCACCTTGAAGCCAGTGCTGTTGTGTGCTATCATTTAACCTTTAATGTGGTTGTGTAATAAACACTCTTGGCTTGGTAACGTTTGCAAATGAGCTTTTCCTCTAACTAGTGTTTGGAGGTGAACTTTTATTTATATTAAAGTCATAATGCCCTTCTTAATTGTGTTTATATATGGTCTTCCTTGTTCTTCCAGGTTACATCACCCGTAAGACTAAAGAGAGATTTGAGGAGGCTTCTTCTTCGGGGAAGTTTCCAGCCAAGGCAGCAAGTAACTGCTGGAAGGCTCTGGTCAGCAATGCAGGACCAAGCACGGAGTCTGCACAAGAGGTTAGTGAGGACTTTAAAAATAGGTCGTTACGATACTGATATTATTCAAGGTCACTCTGGCGTGCTGGGTTCCGAAGCAGTAAACCTTGGTCCCTCTGTGGTAGCAGAGTTGACTTTGAAGGTTCAGGAGGGTTATGTTTCTGTGGGTTGGCATTCATGTTGTACTCGCGCAGTGACTTTTTTGTTTGTTTTCACTCCAGACTCCGTCCACTGCTGCTGACAGTTTGTCTCGTAGACCAGAAGATCGTGCACAGGATATAGAAATGCTGCAAGTCGGTAAGGCTGGCGTCAAGTTATTTACTTATTGCTTTTTCACCTTACCTCATGGGCTGTGTGACACTGCCCATTTTTGCAGTGCTAACATGGGTAGAAGCGATAGCAGGTAAAATCTAGTACTTTCATATGAAGTCTGTTTTCTTTTCTGAATTCTTGCTTTGCTTCTGATTTGGGCCAGTAATTGCCTTGTCATCTCAGTTTTAAGTGTAAGGCTTCAGATAGAGTCCTACAGTTCTCATATATCTATTGCTGGCTTGCCTGAAGTAAATTATTCTGTGCGTTATTTTTAGATAGTAGATTTCGATAATTACTTTTTTTATTCCAAACTTAGGCTGACAGTATTGTGTGTGCACAAGTTTCTCTAGCTGCCAGCATGAACACCCGAAATTAAACATAGTAGCCTAGTGCAAATAGTTATTATGATATAGCAGAGAAAATGAAAATAATCCATTTTTGGTAAAACTCTTCATTGTTAAACTCAAAACTTTAGTTTACTATTATATTTACTGGTGGCTGGTGCCCTTTCCTAGATAAAATGCCTTGTGGATCCAATGCTCATCTGAATAAAGAAGCATTGTCCTGTTCGCATAAGACAATCCCTTGCTTGAGGTAAGAATCCTCTGTTTTTCTTTTAACTTTTGCTCCAAAAACTTTACTGTCTTTCACTTTTGTTCTTGAACTTCCTGCATGTTTCCTGACACTTGTGTCCGTCCACCTACCTCTTTCCAACATATTCTGAAACTCTTTCAAGCCACAATAATACAGCAAGGTCTTCAGCTACTTTATTTCCAGCAAAGTTTGAGCTTTTTTATTTAAATTCAGATTAGTGGTCTGTGGTAGGTAGAAATGTGGAACTTTAAGGTGTTGAGAGCAGGGAAGCTTGTCAGAAGCTCCTAAACAACCTGATAGGAAGCAAATAAGTTGCTGCATGATGTTGAGCATAATGTAGCTCATAAGTTTATAAGGGGGGTGATCTTCACTTTGTCTTTGTTTCTACTTATGTTTGGGCATGCTTTACAAAGAGGTGGTTGGTGCAACTGGAATCAGGAAGGGCTCCCTTGAATGTTATTGTTTCTTTTGCTGTTGTGTATTTAGCACGAGCGGGAATGGGAAACACCAGGTCAAAGCAGCTCTAGAAGACACCTTAACGCTGCGGCCACCCATCAGGGAGCACGTTATGCTGGAAGCCACATCATCAGAATCTGGCAAAATGGGGAGGCCTTTCTGTACTGCTGAAGAGGTAAGCTTGAGGGTGTGGGAATTCCTGCCAAAATAAAACTGAAGGCTTTTCCAGAGTTCTGGAAACACCTATGCAGTATGCACCAAACTTACAGTATTGTGTTGCTTCATATACAGTGGTTATAATATGTGTGCTTAATTTTTTGCCTTTTTTTCTCTCCCCCTCTGCTAGGATGTCCAGCGAGGTGAAAAAGAGAAATACAAACAACTCTTGAAACTAGTAAAGGAGAAATATCCTAGAGGCTGCCCTACTCCTCAGTCTACAAACTTCTGCAAGTAATTACTGTACCGAAAAAAAACCAGTAAATTTTTGATAGCAAGTTTAGCTGTTGTACATGGGAACAGGAAGGAAAGTTGATACTCCTTTGTATTTGCATTAAGAAATATTTCCTAGTAGCATAACTTCTAGTATAAAAATCTGTAGCAGTGATTGTAGAGTATAAAAATTCAGGACAGTGACCAATTAAAAGGAATTTATCTTCCTCTCATTTGAAATTGCTGAGTTTTCCTTTGGTCAGGTGTCCTAATTTATTTAAGAATGTGAAGCTTAACTTCAATGCAGAAAATGTCAGGTTTCTGCCTGTGCCAGCCCACTACCCTGCAAGTTCTCCTACACTTTAGTAGGAAGGTCCCTCTTTGCAGTGCACAGCCCTGTGTGTAGAATCCCAGGGCTTAGAACAAACAAAAAGGCATCTTGTGGGTACTTTTGATTCTTATATACCAGTTTTAAGTATAAATGTATCTCATAGCTGTCCCAGTGTCAGCATATTGTACTAAATTAACTATGCCAGTGTAAAACAAAACCTTAAAGGTGCTTGTGGAGAAGTAAAAGCAGCAAATTTCATGACTTATTAGTCTCTTAAAATTTTGCAGATAGAAAAATTGACTTCTATATCTCCAGTGTGTGTGATTAGAAAGCAGTCAGACTATAAACTGCCCAACTATTAATAGAATACTTTTTGCATTTTATGATGAAACCAGTGTGGGAGATGCCTCATTTTTATTTTGCAGGCTTCTATTTCTTAAATTTATAGTCTCCAACTCTGTAGTGCAGGCACTCCTGTAGAAAGAAGCTGTATTTTTTTAGTATATTGGTATGCACTGATAACAAATACTAAATATAGAAATTTTTGTTTTTCTCTTGTGTTTCTTGCTGCATCAAAGTGCTCAAGCCTATTCCAAGGAACCCGTGATGCCTGCAAGTCTTTGGGAAGAACGAGGACAAGGTGAAGCCCACTACCCATATATGACACTAAAAAATGGTGAATATCTCTGCTATTCATGCCTGTTTATTTTACAGGTAGCATTGAACAAACAGAGTGTTCTCTTAAGTCTTGAAGGTACAGTCTGTATTAAAAAAGATTTGTTGGTACTACTGTATTTTCAAGCTGCATTTCTTTATAAGGAACTCCAGATGGGTTAGAGCATTTATTCTGGTATAGCTTATGTCAATCTTTGAACGAAGAACCCTCTGGAAGGAAAGGGAATAAACTTAGTTACTAGATGAAGGGGCTTTGTAAGGCTTTCGTTGGAGTGAAAAGGTTTGTTTAAGTTAAACCTGAGAGCTGTTGCTGTGTTAATGATGGTGTAGACATAACTCTACATACATATACACACACACACCCCAGTAAACTGTTTAGGATCTGGTTGTCTGTGGTGGTAGAGTATGATAAATTAAATGTGCACTCTTAGGTGACTTAACTTAAAAATTGGATCATACGCGACTCATCCCTTTTTAATCCTATGCTTGACTGTATTCATGATAGCAGCTTCAAAAGCAAACAAGCTAATTGCATCTTTTCTGGATAGGCACAATAACATTGTTTTATTTTATCAAGTTAGCTTCTTTTATATATCTTCTTAGTTATGCACCTTTGGCATAATAAATTTGGTCAAGCATACAACCTAGGCTTCAAAACTTAGTACATTTCCTGCTTCACTTTCCATAAATATGCATGTGATGTCCAAGAGGTGTGTTGCTGGAGTTCAAATTTTCTAACAACACACTCGGAAGTCTTTTTGTGTGATCACCCATAAACTGAGAACCACGTGTGTCTCCTTGCTTTTGCGAGTAGCCTTTTTGTTTCTTCATTAATGCTTTCCTGTCTTTCTGTGCAGGTGTGAAACATGCTGATGCTCGTGGCCCACAGTGGTCCCAGAAAAATGACATGCTCAGGTATCAAGTCCTCTTCTACAAAAAGAGAGTCAGCAGAGGATGAAAGCGGTGGCATTGCCAAGCTGTCCTTGCAGTTGCAGGGAATGTGGCCATCTTCATCCCTTGCCAGTGTCCCAACCATTAACAAGTTGACTTTGTACTCCTTTAGCTTTGGAGCTACTGTATCATAAGCATAAGGTTGAGGACTCTTGTAAAGCCTGATGGGACTGAGGCAGGTTTTGTAACTTACAGGATGCTTTGGGTTTAAACCAAAGCAATGCTTTGGGATGTAAACATCTTTTAGCTGCCCATTTTTAACTGAATGTGCTGGTCTTCGTTTCAGTAAGCTGACTGTATTTGGATGCAAGTACAGTTGCAATATTTCTGTTGCACCTTGTAGTGTAAAGCTTAGCTGGCAGTATTTCTCACCAGCATATCCCAGAACATGTTATAGAAGAGGGGTTGGTTGCTTCCCTGTTTTCCGAATAATGAAACTGGTAGAGAAACAAAACGAATCTTGCATGTATTGATGGAAGGAAGTTGGAAAGACTCCCAGCTCTTCCTTATCTCCTACTTGGGCTGCTCCACAAGCGTAGTGCTGGAAGTTGAGGTGATGTCTCCTTTTGTTGGTATGTGTCACTGAGCTTCTGGTCAGAGGCAGCTCCACAAAAAGCGTTTCCTAACGAGAAGATGATTCTGTGGAATTAAATGCAAATAACTCCTTTCTTTCCTTCTTCCAGGTATTACCCACCAGCAGAAGGCTCTCATGAACGCAGGAGACTAGTGAAACAGGCCAGTGCAGGGGTAAGCCTATCTTGCTTAGTAGTTTATTATTGGTAAAATATGACTGGCTAACTTTGATCACACGTTTCTGCACTCTATCCTTACATGTCTGTATATATGACATGTCCTTACATGTCATATCCTTACAACTTGCTGAGTAAGTTAAGTGTTTGGGAGTGGTGGTTGTTTTTCTCAGGAAGGTGGGGAGCATTATTCAGTTGAATGGTGCTTTCACACAAAAAAATAATAATGGCAGCAGGAAACTTATTTCTGAACTGTTCTGTCTTGCCTCTAAATTTTGGATGTAGCTTCAATGGCACTACAAATAACACTAGAGTTTGCTGTTTAGATGCACATACAAAATATCCTTTTATTTTTATGCAGGAATAAGACTTGCTGCATTTATTCTCAAGCCAAACAAAGCTGTATCTGTTTGTATCTTCATGTCCTTTTGTCCTACAGAGACAACGTGGGTCAGAAATCTCAGATGAAGTGTCATTTAGACTACATCTGGCTCCTGTTTCGTCCAGAAATTCATCCACCGTTGATGTGGAAGAGAAGAAATTCCCAGGCTCAGAAAAAAGAACAGAAGGTCTTTCTCTGCTCACAGAGGTACAACAGCTATTAATCAGTTCAAAGCAGAAAGGTTTGAAACAGCTGTGAGCGACTCCATTAGTTTCTGGTGATTTTTAGGGATTTCTGAAGTCTTAAGGACTTGCATGTGACTTCGTAATGCTGACATAAGGGTTTGGGGACTTCTGTGACCAGGGCAACAACAGGTCCAGGTTTAAAAACAGGCTACCAAGGACAATGTTTAACACAGGTTTGCTGACTAGTTTCATACTGTTTTGCTGGCTTTGCCTCTTAACCTATCCTGCCATGCAAAGGGGACCCGAAGGGTAAGTTTTTGCTGATCCAGAGTGTTGCATTACTTCCAGGGAACTTGAGCATCTTGCATGTGTCTCCAGGATCTCACAGGTGCATGTACACTGCCTATGGCCAACGTACACTCGCTCTGCATGTAACAGCTATTCAGGCTATTCAGGCTAGGTTATTTCAGGCTTATCTGCTTGGTGTGAAGACTACATAAACATCAGTTTGGGGAGGGCTCCAGCTTTATGTGGGAGGTTTGCTCCTTTTTGCCCATTGACAGCTGGCATGCAAGGGAAAAGCAAATCAAAGTTGTACCAAAGTCTGCTTCAGTACAAGGGGAAGAAAAAAAGGGTAGAAAAAATGTTTTTCTCATTTTGCTATCTTAGATTCAATCAAGGAGGGCAGAGTATTTTATACTAACAGGCGATCTCACAGGTGCATGTACACTGCCTATGGCCAACGTACACTCGCTCTGCATGTAACAGCTATTCAGGCTATTCAGGCTAGGTTATTTCAGGCTTATCTGCTTGGTGTGAAGACTACATAAACATCAGTTTGGGGAGGGCTCCAGCTTTATGTGGGAGGTTTGCTGTATTTCTCTTTCCAGGACTTCAGGTTAGCATGCCCAAACCCTTTTTGAGCTATTTCCTGTTTCTCTTTCAGGCCATGGAGAGAGAAATTATTGCTGCGTTTGATGAAGGTGAGCCCGATGAAATCATGAGCAGTGCCTTCAAGCTAAAGGTCACCCGTGAGGACATCCACACACTGAGGAACCTTCACTGGCTGAATGATGAGGTAAAACTTGTAACACAGAGATTTTCTAATTCCGTATCTATTTTAAAATACACCTTGAGAGTATAAGTTTTCTTTTCATTCTGCAGATCCCAAAGGTACCTGAAGGGGTCTGATTTTTTTAGGCCTTTAAGAAACCCATATTACTGGAAGCACCTTTATTTCTTCTTTCAGAATTTAATCAAATCTGTAGCTTGCTTAGTTGGAATGTTTGCCAGGTGTTTATATCAAACTGCAAAAATAACTAAGTGCAATATTCTCAGGACAAAAGCTGAGGCTGAAGATTTGTCAGCTGCATTCTTGGTGGTAGCCAGCAGATACGTGCTGCTGTACTTTTGGTGATCCAGTATCCTAATTCTCATGTAATGTTTGCTCTCGATTATACAGATCATTAATTTCTACATGAATCTGCTGGTGGAAAGAAGCAAGAAAGAAGGATATCCAGCGCTTTATGCTTTTAGTACTTTCTTCTATCCCAAGCTAATTTCTGGGGGCTACAAAGCAGTAAGACGATGGACCAGAGACGTGGATCTGTTCAAGCAGGACCTCATCTTAGTGCCCATTCACTTAAGAGTGCACTGGTCACTAGTGGTGAGTCAAACTGGCTTTTCTTTAGAGTTGGATGTGGAGGGGAAAAGAAAAACAAGCAAGAAATGTCACTTAGCACAAGCTTGTGCTGTGTCTAACCAACTTAATCATGTTCTTCTAACAGGTTATAGATGTCAGAAGGAAAAGCATCAGATACTTTGACTCAGTCGGACAAAAGGGTGACAAGATTTGTGGAACTATATTGTAAGTAACTGCTTTGGTTTTCAACCATGAAAAGTTTCTTGTGTGTGTTGTTTTGTTTTCTTCAGACTTCTTCCCTTAACACATGGCAAGATGTGCCAACTTTTCTCATAGATATAAACCAGAAAACTTGAAATCTTTCTGATTCACTTGCTGAAAACTGTACATGAATTTTGCCATTGGCTATTTACCTACTCTTGTGTTGTCCCTTCCATGCCTGCATTCTACCAACTTGACAATATATTCACAGCCAAAGCTTCACTAGCAAAAATAAAATAAGCCTGTGACACAAATACATTGACACTGTTAGCAGAACATAAAGCTGAGCTGTTGACTAGGGAGAGGAATTTAAGGGATGTGTTTCAAGATACATCACGTTTTCTCTTCCAGACAGGGTGTATGTGATGTCATTGTATTTCTCCAAGCATTTTTCAACTCTTCTTGCACTCCACTCTTACAATTTTTCAAATTACTGCAGCCCAGTAATGTTAGCATCCTATGGCATGTGCTCTCCTTTTGAGGATAAGCTATGCAACTTGCTTAGCTCTTTATCCTTTTCCTTTTTTCATGCTTCTAACATTCATCCCTCTTGCTGTAGTGAGCTTATCACATGCTTCTCCTCGATTCTTCTGTGCCCCTGCCCTTCTGGTTTGATGTTTTAACCACGCTCTGGCTCAGCTCAGCAGACCACCCTCGTGCTGTTACTGGGTGTTATTCAGACTTCTGAGATTCCAGTTCAAGGTAGATGTAGGAAATGCTTCCAGATGTCAAGACAACTGACAGACATTAATCTTTACCATTATAACTGTGTATAAGCCACCAGTGCAGAGGCAGTAGAAACTCAACCCTACAGCTTTATCAACCAGGCTTGTGAAACCTACTGGTTCCAAGCAAGTGCTGTTTTAGCTTGGGGAAGCTTTTAAGAACAAGGTAGTGTAATAATTTTTTCCTTTCCTTAGAGTATTCTAGCAGCCCGTGGCCTGGGAACTTCCTCAGCACCCAGTATGTGGGACGAAGGCGTACCATGGAAGCACAAAAAGATGTACTGGAAGAACTTGCCTTTTCTATTCTCTTTCTGATAGCATTTTATTTGCTTTCTTGATCTCCAAGCCATAAGCTTATGCTTTATGGAAATTGGATTTTGTTCCTGACCAATAGCCAGTAGCTCACAACCTGTCACTGTACACAAAGTTAAAATCTGAGTTTTCCCTCCAAGTGCCTTCAGCTGAATATCCTCTGACATTTTCTGTGCAGCCATTCACTATTCTTTGATCCTTCTGCAGCTTGTTGTTGTTGTTCATATGGGCATGAAGAGTGATTGTGTTTTTGTTTCAAACAGCCAATACCTGCAAGAAGAAAGCAAGGAAAAAAGAAATCTGGAGTTGTCTTTTTCAGAGTGGGTTCTTCACAGCATGGAGCCACATGTATGTGAGCACTATTTGGATTTGAAATGTGAACTCTAACTCCTCATCATGAAGGTCTTAATGTATACTAATAACTCTAAGGTACTTAAGAGGTGCTTAAGCAGTACCTCTCCTTGCTGACTGAATGCTTTTTTAAATTATAGTTTTGTGGGGTTTTTTTGTTTGTTTGTTTGTTTTTTAAATGGAGAACATCCCGAACAACCTGAGCTGAATCTGGTTTTTGTCCCAGGTTCGCAAGTCACATTTAAGAGTCTGTTTAGTTGGTTGGAGGATGTAAGCTCCTAAAAACAGTTTTACATTTGGTCTTTAACTCTTCTGTGGTGTGCAACAAAGCAAAAGGTTGATTTTTCAACAAATCTAATAGTGAAAGATAGTATCTAAAGACTCAGCTTTAGAAACAGAGGCCTGTGTGCACTGGGCAAACCTCAAGACACCTTGCAGAAATGGAGGTTGCTGTCCACTGTTGGCTTGCCAAGAACTTGGATTTTAACATCTAAGCAAAGGAAACAAAAGGGAGGTGATGGTGTGTGGTGAACTGAGTATGTTCCTTGTGTGTGTGGTAGGAGTCATTAGTGGATTATAAAAGTAGGTTCACAAGTGTCTTGGTGAGTGTGTTCGGCATTGAGTACTTAATGCTACTTCCAAACTGCCTTTTGTTTAAGATAGAGGAAAGGTCAGCCGCCACCTCCTCTTTTTTTTTTTTCTTTTTTTTCTCTGTATTAGGAAATTCCTCAGCAACTTAATGGGAGCGACTGTGGGGTTTTTATGTGCAAATATGCAGATTATATCTCCAGAGATAAACCAATCACCTTCACACAGGTGAGTGAAGCTCATTTAAAATAATTATATATATATATTGAAAACGGGGGAAGTTATGTAGCGGCTAACTGAAGTCTCAGAGGCTTCATTTTTAGTGCAAAAACATTTAATAGGGGAGTAGGGTTAGGCCCAAAGCAGCAGATGTTGACTATTTGTAAAATGAACTTGGTCACATTAAGGAATTAACAGCTGGATGGCTATATCATGTGTGTGGGTTTTTTTGGGTTTTTTTTTTTTTTTTTTTGCTGCTCTCAACTTCGTTTTTAATGAATTTCCTTTTTCCTTTGCAGAGTAACATGCCTTACTTCCGCAGGAGGATGGTGTGGGAAATACTCCATCAGCAGCTGCTGTGACACATGCACTATTAGAGTAACACTGTGATCACCCTGTGGTGACTAACTCTCATTTTAATTATTTTTCTAATGCCTTATTTCAAAAGGCAACAGGCACACAAATTTTCCTCTTTAGGCTATAAAGTAGTGATTTTTTTTTTTCTTTTTTAATTCTGGGAGACGGTAACTCTCTTTGAAATTAGCTAATGCACCATGAGTGCAAGACAAAGATTGCTGTGCTGTTGCCCAAGGAATGGTTAAGAACAGCTGCTATGTGAACCTCTGCTCATACCTTGCAGCACATGTGGGCCAGATTACGGACAAATGGAACTTTTATTTGTGGTGGTAACGATTCTGTTACTAAAACTAATCTCCGTAAGGACAACGTGCTTAGCTAATGTTTCTTCAAGGAGAGTTTTCTTCTGTTTCTGGACTATCCACAAACTACTTGATTCCTAAAACTGGATTTGTGATGACCATAAGAAAGCATTTACAATCCTTGATTTGTAACAAATCCATAGTGAAGCCCCCATACTTGGGGTTGGTGGAGTTTTTTTTTTGTTTTTATTATTTTTGTGTGTCTCCATGAAAATATCTAATGTGAAGAGAGAAGTATTTATTTGTTTTCTTTGTTAAAATAAATATGTAACTTAAGTGAAGAAACTTATTGAAATGAAACTCTACCTGGTACTGAAGTGTTTTTTTTTTTTTCCTTTCAATTGAAAAGGTTTGACAGAAACCACTTTGCCATAACTCACTTATCTGCAGTGAAAACAACTAGACAGGGTCAATAGTGGGGCACAAAAGCCTCTAAGCATCTGTCACAAAATCCCAACAGGGCTATCGGGATGTCATTCAGCAAAGAAATAAACAAGTTTAGTACAGGCAATATCTAAGTACAGGGCTGAAGAACAGATCTCTTTGGGATAACTCAGTAGGCTTCTCAATGAGATAAACTAAGATAAAACTCCACTGCTTGGAGAACGTGGCCTGTGCAGTAGTCTCCACGTGGTGTATTAAAGAGCAGTGTTCCTCTGGGGAACTGGAATAAAATGTATTTCCAGGTGCTGGTACACATGCAGAGGTTTTTGAGCTGTGTCCTACCCCACACACTGGTGTTGCAGCAATGTACTGCACTCCCCAGCTGCTTCTTGTCTCTGTGCTGGAGGGTGGCCTCCTTATATCTGCTCCATGAAGTGCTTGTGTGAATTCTTCCTGCTCTGCTCCAGTCAGACACAGAGGTTAGTTCAGGCTAGTTTATCCCCTTCCTTACTTTTTTTTTGCCCTTTAGGTTTTACTCCACGATGGGAGGAGCAGTATAGTCTTTCAGGTCCCAATTTACCATGGTGGAGGGAAGCTTGTCCTGTAGTTTGTGAGGAGCTTCTTCTAATGTTAGTATAAATAGATACAGAAGCCTTGTTTCTGTGCTCTCGCATTTCTGTAACACGGATGGAATAGTGTCTCTAATGTAAGGGGATACCTCCACCTCACTGGTGACAAGGAGGGTCTCTTCTGCCCTGGCAGAAGGGTGCTGGCTTTTCAGACATTGTCATGTGGTTACAATTCCAGACAGGGCCATGTCTTACAGACTTGGACGTTCAAGGAACCGCTGCTCTCCACAAGTCCTTGTGGGGACATTCAGCTTTTACAGCGCTGCTCTTGCCTGAGGAACAGTTCCACATCTGGAAAAGCAGGTAAGTTGGTTTGTCTGCACTGTGGGCCAGGTTCAGGCTTTGCTTTCCAACTGATCAGCATAATCCATCACAAAAATCAGATTCTCCAAAGAGAACAACCACTTAGGCAGTCATCTGTGATGTTTTGTCCTTAGATGAGATTATTTCTTATTTTTTAGCTGTGTATTGACCTGTGGATTTGGCAGTTGAGTGCTGCGCTTTAAGTAACCTTTCCTTTTTGCTTCAGTTCTTGCCTTGTGATGATGTAATTTTGGAGGATGACCCTGTACTTTTCTGATCTGTGAAAACAGATTTTTTTTTTCTGTTTTTGTTTTCAAAAGCAAGTCAATCAAAACTGACAGCCCTGCTGTGCTGGTAGCATAAGAGGTTGTGAAGCAGGAGAAGGCTTTCTGTGTTCCTGTGCGTTCTCTTAGAGGATGCTCACACAGCCAGACACACAGACAGCTAAACGTGCAAACTCCTAAACTAGAGTATAAACCTTGCTAGGAGATAACAGCTTTGGCCCCTGCAGCTTGGTCCCCCTAATTAAAAGTTAGCTGTGTGTCCAGAGCACCAGGCTGCCCAGAGAGCTTGTGGAGACTGTCCTTGGAGATATTCAGAAGCCATTTGGACAGAGTGCTGGGCAACCGCCTGTAGGTGACACTTCTTGAGCAGGCACTTGGACCAGCTGATCTCTAAAGGTCCCTTCTTGCCTCAACCTTTCTGTGTGGCTTTGACTGCTGAAAGCCTCAGGAGACATTATGAAGAAATTCTGTATGCACCAGCTAAGGCTCTGCTCTCTATGCAAGGTTATATTTCACAGGTTCCAGCAGTAGTTTGGTTCCCTACATAAGATGCTTTGTGTTACCCAAAAACATCCTTTGGAGAGGAATAACCTGTTTGAAGTCTTCCATGCTTTCTGGCCCTCAGACCTGATGTGCAAACAGTTCCGTGTTGGCTCTGGGCCTCTCTTCTAATTGTAGCCGGTAAAGGGGCTATCAGAGCTCATCTGCTTCCCCTCTGTGCTGGCTTGGGAGCACACGTCAGGCCTGTGACGCAGTGTGACTAACACCGTGGTCCCTGGCTGCCTCCGTGGGCATGGAGATGTGCTCCTCGTCCTGGTTTGCCCTTTTCCTGCTGCTGCCAGAAGCAGGGTGACTGCTGCCTTACTCACAGGAAGGAGTAAGCGAATGTGGGTCAGGCAGGGCTCATTAAAGCCTTGGTGAGCACGAGCCTCCCCAGAGCTGAGTCACTTGCGACAGGAGTGATTCATTGCCTTATGTTGCCTTGTTTTTGTTCCCCTTCTCTCTTTGGAGTTGGCCCTTCTAACACCATCAGTCTGTGGAGGTGGTGGGCTCCTCTCCATTGCTAAGCCCAAGCTTTTGGTTAGTCAGAGAAGCAGCTATGGGAGCTGGTAGGGATGACGAGGGATCCCAAGCAGTGATCCCCATTAATAAATGCCATAGTGCCATGCTATCAGTTTGGCTTCGCTGGCTACAAGGGCTAGTAACAGTACAAAAATGAGGCAGCTTAATGGTGGTAACAAACACCTCTGAAGAGGTGTCAGCTGTGCTCAGGGCACTGCTGTACCCACCACCTTCCTCCAAAGGATCCTGAAAGCTCTGGGATGGGAGTTGTGGTGTGTTTTGAAGCCATCTCTGGGCGAGACAGGAAAGATTTGGGCCCAGCACTGCTTCCCTGTGCCCTTAAGGCCGGAAGCGAGGGAAGATACATAGATAGACAAATAAATGAATAAAATTCAGCCTCTTGCTCGATGGAGATGCCGGAAGCAGCCTTACCAGGAGGCCAGGAGGTGGGTAAGATGGGCTGGAGGGCCTCAGAGCAGAGCCAGGACACCAGAGGCCACATCCCACCTGCCACCAGCCCTCTCCAGGGCCCAGTGGCTGCATGTGGCTCCCCCACGGCTTTGTGACTGTGGGGAGGGCATCACCACCTGGTTTGCTCCTCAGGAAACGGCCCCAAACCCAACCCCATCACCCTGGTGGTCCAAGCAGGGCAGACCCCACTGCCGTGACCGCGACGGAGACAGCAGGAGCCGAATGGCCACCCGGTGCCATCACGGCAGCCCAGGCCGGGACCTGCTCTCACACCAATGCAAAGAACGTGAAAGAAAGCGACAGAGAACAAACACGGGCTCTGGTTAGCTGAATATATATATTTTTTTTCTTTTTTGGTGGTGGTGTTTTTATTTTTCACAGAACACTGTTTGTAGAGAGAAAAAAAAAAAAAAAAAAACCTGGCGTCGCAGTCTGTCATCCCAACACCAGAGACCAGTCACCCTATCCAGGCTAAGGATCCTCGAGCGGTGCCGTGCTGGTCTGCTGCTTGGGTTGGGTTATTTGTATTTTTTCCCACTGGTTGTGTCGGTCTTTTTCTTCTTTTTTTATTTATTTTTCTTTTTCTTTTTTTTGTCTTTTTTCTTATAACCATTTCTCAAGCTTTCTCTGAAGGAATGGCCGCTGGCTCTCAGCTAGCAAAAGGAGACTACAGAAGAGCTCTGGGACATGTTGGGCTGGTTTCCTTCTCCTGCCTCGCTGCTGACTTGCTCTAGAGTTTTTATTTTTCATTTTCCAACTTGTTTTTTATTAAAAAAATAATAAAAAAAAAGAAAAACGCTTCAACTATCAGTTTTACAAGGCATACAAAATCTCTAAAAGGGAAACACAAGCGCAAGGTGCTGAGGTACGAAAACCTGAGGTAGTTTTTCTTTTTTCAATCTTTTTGTGTGTGTGTACATGTGTGTGGGGGGGTTATATTTAATTTTTCTTTTATTAAAAAATTGCCTTTTTTTTTTTTCAAGCCCTGGGCCAGCAACCTCTTGTAAATCGGTTCTTCCCCCTTCTCTCCCTCCAACATTAAAGAAAAGGGATCTTTCGTCAATGCAAGTCCCTAGTGGTAGCCCCTTGGCCATGCAAGGTGAGGGGCTATCCCACTTCCCTGGCTGGGGTGGGGGCAAGGACACCGTTGTTATTAGTACAGAGCTGTTTTGGATGCGGTTGCTGGGTATTTTCTTTTTTCTTGCCAAAAAAGAACTGCTGGCTTCAGTACCGGGGGGTGAGGCCAGTGCTCCCCACCGCAGATGCGGCTCTGTCGGTGGCGGGGAGCAAGAGCGCTGCGTTGTCCAGTGGCGAGGGCAGGACAGACAGACAGAGCAGGGCACACAGATGCGCAACCCAGGTGGGACTCAGCGAAGCTACGAGGAAAGGGCCCGGGGAAGAGAGAGAGAGAGAGAGAGAAACAGAGAGATTCCTCCATGAAGGACGGTATCCCTGCGGTTGGCTTAGACAGGCAGTCCCCACTGCACGCGGGCGCTGTTCCCCTTTCAAAGCCCTTGAATTGCCTTAATTTCACCCTTGTTTTTCCTTCCCCTCCTGGCAATCCCGAATCTCTGCTGTACCTTGCATCAGAGAACCGAGACACAGGTGTCTTTCCTGAAAAGCCTAGAAAAGCCTGTTTTTTTGCTTTTTTTCTAAAAACAACCACCTCCCACCCCAAAACTCCAACCGCTCCCCGCTTTGAAATTACAAAAAAAAAAAAAAAAAAAAGAAATTGGTATTAGTTTAGTTATTGATACATTAATACTAAATATATATTGACGCTGCTGCACAGCAGTTCCCCATGTGGGGAAATCTCTTCTAGGTAACGGCCATGTGGGTACAAAGAGCGGGTTGCAAAAAATAGTT